TCTTTTACTATAGGTATACGTTGGTAAGCCAAAGCATCAATCCGCGCATAATGGCCCTATCTGACACTAATAACGAATAACAAGTTATCGCTAACATCAGTGTCACCTCAATAACGACCCCAGCCCTCCTTAACCTTAACCCTCAGCACGACCTCAGGCATGGCATGTCACATCCCAAGCTTTATTCGTTAAGGCCCTTTTTCGCCATTTTTGATTTCGCAAGTGTGTGGATTTTCGGACTCAGCATAGAGAATAGGCCCGGGTAAGCGCAAAATTTCAAGATCGACTTTTTGTCATGACACTGCCTTTAAGGCTACAACGAGCTGCTAGTGGTTGTTCGAAACTGGATTAACGCCAAGTCTGTTTTGACAAAATTTTGCTCAAATGTTCATGCTGCTCCGTTCGCATATAGTGTAGTCAGGAGTTTCGCAGTTACTTTCCTTATTGCTTCCTAAAACTATGAAATATGTGATAGATGTGGTAGCTTGTTCGAGGAGCGAGGCTAAGTAATAACTAGCTTCTGGACAAAGTCTAGTTCCTGGTCGGGTTAATTTTGGCGTCCACTTGTTGCGATGTTGTTTTGATTTAGCATTATTAGGAGCTCCCTCTAATGACGAATGCCCGATGAAGGGAGAAATGTTTTTGATCTTGAAGCTCATCTTGTTCATGAATCACAGCTCATATTCGTTTGTCAAGCCAAAAGCAGTAGGTAATCTTGGCTGGTGTGAGGGTAATGAGTGTCGTTTTCTTTTGTGTGGTAAACACATAAACTTAATTTTCTGCTCCAGATTGTCACACAGTTAGTACAATAAAAAGCAGTTAGTATTCTAATAGACAGCGATGATTCGTGACTAGCATCGAGAGCAGCTTGAGCGATTGTGAATATCTGAAAAAAAATCAATTTTCTTGAATTGATCAATAGCTAAATTTCAAAAACCATGGTTTGTGTGACTGAAGAATCAACTACTCAAGCAGCGAATGAACATGGTCTAGAAGACCGTGGTTGATGTCTTTTTTACAAATTCAGACAAACTCAAATGATGACTAGGTAGAAGATGAATGAAGTTACTTACGTAAATAGATGATAAATGAAGCTGATTAGAAAGTATAATCGAGGCTGTCCTGCTACTGCTGTCCTGCCACCGCCACCCCCTCAAGTTTCTTCCTTCCAACAGTACTGTTCCTTTTTCTACTATCGCTACTAAGTCTGTCGCCGGATCTCCTACGAAGTTTGCTTCTACTTCCCTTTGAAATTTTGTCGCTTTCCTCTGAGTCGTCGGATCCAGTGTTTTTATTATCAGATGACGTTTCTTCCTAAATTGCAATAGTATCTTGCCGCCCATTCATCGAAATTTGTAAAAGTTTGCACCTCTGCTGTTGGTGGTTTGTCACCTTTCGATCTACCTATCCAATCTAATTTTCTGTCCATGTCGATTTTATTCTCTTTGGCTATTGATCTGAGCGAGTGGGTCATATAGCTGGAAAGTAAAAACTAAATTTGAAGTATTTGAATTATGGCACTCACATGTAGTCCGGCTCCTCCGCAAAGGTCATGCCGTTAACATATTCTACTATGCGTTTAAACTGGTTGGGTACCAAGCGATAACATCTCGGAACTGCGAAAAACGTTTACAACAGCAAAAAAGACCACAAAGAAGGGTGGGACTCACATTGAAATCGAAAAAATTTTTCTTTGTAAACTACCACTTGACTTCGGTCAGGCAAGCGCTTCCAAGGAATTCCAGATTCGTCATCGATCAGGTCAAATGCCTAGATTCAACGAAGGATGAAAGTTTAGGTGAGTGACCTTGATTTTATCGAACCATGTAAATCCAGGTTTCTAGGTCGTCTTTTCTGCCTTGTTCAATTCCATTGTGACAAGCTCGCGAAGCAAACCGAAGTGTTCCCAGAAATTTTACTTGGAGTCGAGGGACTCTGCATTTACCGATAACAGACAATTGTTTATTTTAGGCTCTAGTAAAGTATCTTAGACAGCACGTACTTTACTTGCTTAGTGTTTCCCACTGTGTACTTCCTAGCAATTCCAAAATCAAGCATGTATATGGTTTTCTCGTCTTCACCTAATCCTACGGCGAAATTTTGAGGTTTAATGTCCCTGAATGTAAATTCAATCTGCGGGTCATTTCATGACTAAGGCTACTTTCAATACTCCGTGCCAGCGCCATTTTAGCGTTGTGTCCAAACGTCGATAAAGAGGGAGGGGGATGTCCATATAAGCTAGCACGGCGCTGGCACACACGCCGGGCAACTCTGGAGCTGCCTGACTGCAATACTTGCCTATGTAGGTAACCGATTTCGTGGAGATCGCCAATTGCTTGCAATGTTTGGTATGCAGCCTGCATGCCCGTCGATTTGGAAAAATTTCGACCGACTATGTTCTTGCGAATATCTTCTAATGATGGACCCACCAAGCTCATTACCATAAACTAAAAACTTCAGAAATCTTTCGACGCTGTCACCATTTCTTCTGAATACCTTGAATTTTTCCGTTTTTCCTCGATCAATGAGATCTATGAAGTGCTTTCGTTTTTCGGGATTTTCGACATTCAGACAGAGTCCGAGTACGCGTACTTCAATTTTCAAACGAAGCATGCGCTTGTCGCCCTCGCACATTTCTGTTTTCATTGCGTACTCCTTGAGAATTAATTGATGAGAGCAAAAGAAAATGTCTCTAAGTAACCTTTTTATCGGCATCATTTTCTTTTACTACTTTGTAGACATCTCCAAAGCCGCCAGATCCCAGCAGTTTGTTGATGTGCCACCTTTAAGCTATCAACTCGCTTACATCAGCAATATTTGAACACCTACGTGAAGTTGTCGCTTTTGAGAATATCATTCTCTTTCATTTTTTGCCTTTTTGCAACTCTTTCTTTCCTCTTCTGCTTGTCGGCTTCTCTTCTCTCTGTACTTTTGAGTGGCGGACCTTTCTTCTGAATTGTTATCATACAAAGGAATGCTTTGAACGATCAGCTAACTTTAACCCATTTGAGCGTACCTCCGCAGAAAGAGCTGTCATTTGTTTCTGAAAAAGTATGTATAATGGTTAGTGTAAGAATGAACAGACCACAAGCAATGACTTCCACGTTTCCTACTCCCCAAGTGTCACTACGCTCCGCCGCCTTGGTGTATCATGGGGGGGGGGGAATGATACTGCTTGTCGGAATGCGCAGTAATGTATACATTAAGAGGGCCTCTCAAGTTGTAAACGGAATAGGCATTTTCGACTTCGGCCGGTATAGCTGAGAGGGTGATACACGCTGCCTGGATTTATTTAAGAATCACTGGCGGTTCTCCACAACAGAACTGACGATGGGGCGTGGAGGCGAGAGCACGATTTGGCAAGTCGCTTTTGTGGAGAGAGATTAGTTATCCTTATAACGAGAAAGGATAGAAAAAAACACTGCACATCGGAATCCACCTACGGTGTCAGGTGGTATAATAAAGTGTGATGTCAGATGCCACTTGAGTCAGCCAAAAGTAAACGTCTTGGACGACGCGTTGTAGAGTACCCATGCTCTGCATCTGTAGCGCTAGGACAGTGGCCTCAAACGCCGACCTCCATGCTCCTGCAGAGCACATCAAGTACGACGTGCAGACGAAATCTAGGAAGAAGGACGTGCGACAGTCAAGTGATTAGATTCTCATCATGGTCAGCAAGTTTCTCACAAATTGTGGAGCTGGCTTTTCCCGCAGTCGTCCATCGTCCATCTAGTCGAATCGCATATAATCCTTCACATCTAGCCATCCTACAAGTACGACCATCACGTTAGACATTGATTGTTACCTTCCCAGCAACTAATGAATCAAAACAAAATGCTTTCTACCAAGATGTGGAGGAAATCGCCTGTAACGGGTAATTCCTCTACAAGTCAAGTGTGATGTAGGCGACTTCAACGCACAGAGTGCTACTGGGAGAGCGGAGTGGGTTCAGGAAGCAACGGTCTCTTGAAGTTCTCTCCACCGCACGACTTTTTCATGAAATTAACCGCATCAAAAAGAAACCGTCTAAACTTTGCAATTTTCTACGAAACGATTCACACAAAGTTTACCACATTCTGGAGCTTGCTCGATATCTCAGGTTCTATCTTTCCGCAGTGTCTCCGTCGCTTCTCCTTCAAATGGAGATACACTGCAGTCAAAAGCTGACGAAGAATGTCTGCCACAACGCCGCAAGAGGGAAAGAAGTCCTTTATGACAGACAGACAGGCTGGAGGAACTCGTGTGAAGGTGTGATTGGCCGTAAGAGGGCCACAGGGCCTACGACTACGATCAGCTTCTGTAGGAATTGCGAGCCTACGGAGAGTGCGACTCAATGAATTCTGAAAAGAAGCTTGGAACATGTCTCGTAGACTACCACAAAAATGCTCAAAGGAAGAGCATACTTGAGGCGATTCGACCGCATTTAGTCAATTTCATTTGCAGAACAGCTTTGAGGGAGGATCTAATGAAGAAGCAGGTAAGCCAAGTACCGAAAGCCGAAGGAGACGAGAAGTGCCGAAGAGGGCTTGTAAATCCTACGTGCAGGTGGTAACACTTCTAAACGAAGGGACCCCAACTTCTTTCTGACATAAGATGGAATATATCGCAAACAAATTCTACACCAATCTCTTTCTCTCATCATCGCGTATACAATGTCCGTTGCTCCAAATAAAGAACCACGTTCTACCTGCAAGTGCGCCTCAAGGTTCACAGACGTCCATGGCTCCAGGACCAGTGGCCGTATTCATCAACGAACCCAGTGGGTTC